TGTAAGACACATTGATTTTGTTCATCTCCATGGCATGCAAACAACATTAATACAAGTACCATAAGCTAACTTGCGGTACAATAATGGAAAAGGAAAACATGGTTCCTCTTAAATTTCATGCTGTCATTTCTATTAGGCTCTATTGCATTATTTCAAACCAATAGTACAGCATGAGCCTATGTACAACAGGATGCAACACTGCCCACGCCTGTGAATTGCTTCCCAGACTTACAGTGAAGCCTATTGTGGCAATCACCCTGTCCATCCAGCCCAAAGAGCGTCTTCTTTTTCACTGATTTCACATCATGGGGAGACAAAAATCCCAGTTTGAATATGTAAGCCACAGCTCATATTGACATCCTGAAATGACATGAATACTTCTTAAGGAATTTCCTTTTCCAATTTTATACAAAATCCTACCATCCTGCAGAACATATGGAATAATCCACAAGAAGTGAGTTTAACAAGTAGTAGTGTGTGCATCCACTATTACAGCTTCCATGGTCGTCTCAGTGCATTGCGAACTTCACTTTTCCATAATATTACCTCAAAATCCACAACCACTAAGTCCATCCCAACTCATGCCCACTCTTCAGGACATTGTCAAACTGCCCCTGTGGGTTTCTTTAACTAACTCTTTCTTTTCCTTTTAAAATAATTTTATTGGGGGCTCATATAGATCTTATCACAATACATGCATACATATATTGTGTCAAGCACATTTACACATTTGTTGCCATCATCGTTTTCAAAATATTTTCTTTCTACTTGATCCCTTGGTATCAGTTCCTCATTTCCCACCCCCCCCACCCTTACTCATGAACCGTTATAATTTATAATTGTTATCATTTTGTCATGTCTTACACTGACCGATGTCTCCCTTCACCCACTTTTCTGTTGTCTGTCCCCCAGGGAGGGAGTTATATGTAGATCATTGAGATTGGTTCCTCCTTTATCCTCCCACATTCCCCTACTCCTCCTGGTATCACTACTCTCATTGTTGGTCCTGAGTAGTATATCTGTCCTGGACTCCCTTTGTTTGCAGCTCTTTTCTGTACTGTCACATGCTCTCATCTAGCTGGATTTGTAAGGTACAATTGGGATCATGATTGTGGGGGGATGGGGAGAGAACACATTAAGGAACTAGAGGAAGGTTGTATGTTTCATTGGTGCTATACTGCACCCTGACTGGCTCGTCTCTTCCTTGTGACCTTTCTGCCAGGAGATGTTCAATTGTCTACAGATGAACTTTGGGTCTCCACTCACACTCATCCTCATTCACATTGATATGATTGTTCGTTCTGTGTATTTGATGCCTGATACCTGATCCCATCGACACCTCATAATCACACAGGCTGGTGTGCTTCTTCCATGGGGACTTTGTTGCTTCTCACCTAGGTGACTGCTTGCTTGTCTTCAAGCCTTTGAGACCACAGGTGCTATATCTTTTGATAGCTGAGCCCCATCACCTTTCTTCACCATATTTGCTATGCACCCATTTTGTCTTCAGCGATTGTGTCTGAAAGTTGAGCATCATGGAATGGCATGTTTTTAGAACACAGTGTTCTTGAGTTGAGGGAGTACTTGAATAGAGGCCCATTGTTTCTCTGCTTCCTTGATATTTAACATATAAATATATGTACATAGATTATTCAGTAAATGCCCTTTGCCTCCCAGTTCTTTTCTCTATTTCCTTTTACTTTCCTCTTGTCCCAATATCATTTTTGCCTTCATTCGCGTTTCAGTAATTCCTCTCCATTCCATTGCCCTTGTTCAAACCCCACCTATGCCCTCCTTGCCATCAATTTTAGATCTCTTGTTGTTCCCTTTCCCCTAGGTTTGTTAACACCCACTTCTTTTCCCTGCCTCCCCTCCACCATGTCACCCCCGGAACCATCTGTCCTGTTCTTTTTTCCTCTGGATTGTTTATTCTGTCTATCTTATCTAGACAGACATGCAGAGGCAATAATAAGCACAAAAAGAGGGCAGAACAAAACAACAAAAGAAAAACAGCAACAACGAAAAATGGCCTTTGGTTGTGACTTGAATGTGAGTGTGCGTGGCGGGTGGGAGGGGGCATTGGTTGCTATTAGCTTCCTTGTAGTTAGTGACCACTATGTCTTACGTGGCCTGCATCATTTAAACTTCCTATATCTATACCAAATTTTTCATGACCGTCTCTATCACCACCGTTATTCAACAAAAATATCATTTTATTATTTCACATGTATTCTGTTTAATACTCTCAATTGCAATAGATCCCACTTGGTGATATGCACCCCAAAATGAGTCTGTTGGTGTTCTTTTGTGATCCATATGATTTCATTGATTAATTTTTAGAAGAAACCTCCAAACCTTCTTTTCTTGTCTTACTATTAAAGTTCCTTTAAAATCTCTCTACTCGGGATGACTTTGTTCCTATTAAGATACTGGTGTAGAGCTGCCAGAAAAACAGCAACGTGCATGCCACCACAGTACCACAGACACTTGTTAGGTGTAGCTTAATATTCCTAAGAATCTTATTAAATAATTATTAATAATTTTTCCATTTCTCAGATGAGAATGTATCAGAAATTCTAAAACTCCAGAAACTGCAGCACCAATAAGAGCCACGGATTTTAAAAAAGATGTAGGAAATGAGCAAGAAATATAAAACAAGGAGACATAATTAATTTTTAAATATATCCACGTATAGATTCTTTGTCTTATACATTTATACACAAACTGTTTTACAGATGAACATTCTTTTTTGTAAAATAACAAACTAAAACCAGGAATTCATTTTTGAAAGGAATCCTAATTTCTAATATGAAAATAAAAAATGAATGACAAGAATTTTCTATTCTCCATTTGAAATTCTGAAAGCAAACTAAATGTATATATATATATCAGCATTTCCATTTAATTATATATAAAAAAATTGAAGAAAGGAAACATTTAGTTAAATATACTCAATCCTTGAAAAACATAGAGAAAAGTGAATTGGAAACAACTATTTCTAACTACTACATTCATGACTAAGGTTGCCATGTCAAAAGTGAAGTTGGCTATTCAACCTCCACTTCATTCCACGTGAAAACCATGCTTCCTGCTAAGAAAGTCTTCCTTAGGAAAATATCTTGGGACCCACCATTTTCCTGACCGCTTCTTTCACATCCTTGTTCCTCAGGCTATAGATCAGAGGGTTCAGCATAGGAATCACTACCGTGTAGAACACCGTGGCTACCTTGTCTGTGTCTGGACTGGTGCCAGAGCTGGGCCTGCAATAAATGAAAAGGATGGTTCCGTGGAAGACTACGATGGCTGTGAGGTGGGATGCACAGGTGGAAAAGGCTTTGCGCCTTCCCTCTGCAGAGCGCATCCTCAGGATGGTGATGAGAATAAACAAGTAGGAGGTGAGGATGACCACAATGGTGCTGATCTCATTGAAAGAGGCCACAATGAACAACAGCAGTTCATTCATGGAGACATCAGAGCAGGCAAGAGATAAAAGAGGGGGTATATCACAGAAGAAATGGTTAATCACGTTTGAGTGATAGGCTGGGATCTCAAGAGCTAAGCACATGTGGATCAGAGAACACACAGTTCCCCACATGTAGCAGCCACACAGCAGCTCCACACAGAGTTTCTGGGACATGGTGACCATGTAGAGGAGTGGGTTGCAGATGGCCACGAAGCGGTCATAGGCCATCACAGCCAGTAGGATGACTTCAGTTATTGCAACAAAGCAAAACAAATAGAATTGTACCATACATTCCACAAAGGAAATGGTTTTAGTTTTGCTTATGATATTGTCCAACATTTTTGGCACAATGATGGTAGAGTAACAGAAATCCACGAAGGACAGGTGGCTGAGGAAAAAGTACATTGGGGTGTGTAGCTGAGCACTGGCTTGAATCAATGCAATCATGCCCAGGTTGCCCACAACTGTGATTCCATAGATTAGAAGGAAAAACAAAAGGAGGAAGACTCTCAGCTCAGGGATGTCTGATAATCCCACGAGAATGAACTCTGTCAGCATGGTGCAGTTTTCCTCTACCATTTTCCAATATATTTCAGATATGGCGAAGCAAATTAAATGTCTGGTCATTTTCCTAGAAGGAAATAAAGGTTATACATAAGTCTCCAAAATGGAATTTTGATATGAAAAATAGTTGTGTTTTTTTAAGAAAACTATATCTAAGGGGGAAATAAAATCAACATATTCAAAATCTTTAAAAGAAAAATCTCTTTAGATGCTACAGATCAAAAGTAATTATCATCTGAAGTCTCAATTGATTCTCAGAATTTATGTACATAATAGATTGGAATGATCTAATACATTGATAAGTTAATACCCCTTTGAAATTCATTCAGTATTTTATTTTACAGCACTGTAAGCTATCGCCTATATCCAAAAATCTTAACAATCTGTGTCCATTTAGCATTACAGGTATGTGATCTTGATACATGTGTATATGTATATATTTTTATACCAGTTATGGTTGACATAAGTATTCCATAAAAGAGCTAATCTTTGTTTGTAATGCTGTAGAGTAGGTTGATATTCTTGCTTTATGAGGCTTCAAAAGACCTTTTTCCACACGTGTTGTTATGTGAAAGCAGATAGTGAATGTCTTAGCTTTTTGCTCATTACATTAACCAAGGATTTATCTAAAGTACAAGAGAAATGATCAATGTTAACAATGTTCATTGTCTTATAAATTTCTCTGAAAAGCAGTTAAAGTGTGTATGTCCAATATTAACTAGGCAACAGTAAAATCTAAATGAATTTAGGAATTTTATGCTTAGTGAGCTGTTGTGAAAATATTTTTAAACATCAACGTTATTTTGGTAGAGTATGCACATTGCTATATTGTAAATATACCCATGATATCAAAATATTAAAAATTTCATATAAACTAGATGAAATGTTGATCTGGTGTGCAGAATGATAATATTGGAACATCAGGATACAATTTAAATTAATATGTCATTGTTGATTAAAACAATAAAACTAAAGGTGGTCCTTGGGAGCAGAAGTAATTGTTGGTATAGAAAGAGATAAAAAACTTAAGGGGATTGGAATATAGAAATCACATCACTATAACTTCAGTAAAAATTACTAGTGTTCCCAAAGTCTCACGAAGTAGGTTGGAGTAGTGGTTACCTGTTCTCTGTATGTCTGTGAGAGCTAAGATCCAGGGTTTTCTTAAAGAAAAGGTATAGAGAAAGTGGGAGATTTTACCCTCTGCCCTCCTTTCTACCCTCAAAGGCATGAGAGCAGAATGAGAGAGTATTGGCAACGTGCTCAGCTTGGTATTTTCTCTTCACCTTGGGGTAATTTTAAAGATCATTGTGCTGAAAGTATGGATTGATTACCCCAATTATATGCATGCATGAACCAAGCCAAATCCTGAGCCATCAAGTGGAATCCAACTCATAATGTACCTATATAGTATTTTTAAAACTGTAAATCTTTAAAGAAGATTTATGTCTTTCACTGGTGAACTGAGGATTTATTCTGTTGATCTTATGCTTAGCAGGAAATGTGTAACATGCAATGCCACCACAGTCCCTTACAGATCACGCAGTGATACATGCTTACATACAACACTTTGCCAAACCTAAAGTACAGAGTTATATAAGTTTACCATAGTTTCTTCTGGATCTAGATGTATAGGATAAAGAGAGGGCTATAGTATATACTATAGTATGGGGTTGCTATTAGTTGGCATCAACTTAATGGTGGTGAGTTTATAGAATAGGCAATCATTTGTTCAAAAGAACTATATGCTTTCCTGAACATAAATACCTGGAAGTCCAGGAGTCCTTTCAAGCAAATTAATATTTGTGGACAAATTAATATACATATTTATGTAATGATTGGAGAAACAATTAGGGAACATATATATGTGGTTATATTTTCAAGATTCAGTTATGGAAAATTGTATGGAAGAATGAGGAAACAGGAGGGTAAAAGGGGGCGGGGAGATCTACTATGTTTTTTTACTCAGCATTTCTAACACACAATACTAGATACCACTAGTGTTGGTGTTACCAAGTATTTGTACTGATTTCCTAACAACATACTTTAAATCTAAAGACAGAAATATTTTAAATAAGCACACAGAAAAGGGAATTCTGTGTAAATATACAGTGATTAGAAAAGAGCTGATACCTATTATAGAAAACAGATAGATCTTACTTATAGTAGAAACAAGATAGATCTTACATATTGTAAAAAGAAGATAAAGCTTATAAATTTCTTTTCAGCTTAAGTGTTCTTTATAGAAGAATTAGACATCTTTCAAAATATTTTTATTTTAAATACTATATATTTAAATAACTAGAATCAAGTTTTAACTTACAAACCTGACTGGAAGGCATTTTTTCTCTGGAACTAAAGATGTTCAGGATGAAGATAATGTAGCATTAGATGTTTTATACTATAATTTAAGCTCAAGGGACCTGAGTCCCCCAAACAATTATTAGTCTCTATGGAAAAACAAATATAAATAATTAAAACAAATACTACCTACCTGTATGGCACAAATGATTTTGCTGATCTCCATGGCATGCAAACGTGAAATTAATACAACTAATACCATAGCTAACTTTGGGGAAATAATGGGAAAGGAAAACATAGTTCCTGTTAAAATTCACGCTGTTGTTGCTATTAAGCTCTAGTATGTCATTTCCAACCCATAGTATAACATGATCCTTTGTACAAGAGAATCAATCCAGCTCACAGACGGTCTTCTTTTTCACTAATTTCACATCATGGGGAAACAAAATCCCAGCTTTAAATGTGTAAGCTGCAGCTCATATTGACATCCTGAAATGACATGGATATTTCTTAAGAAACTTCCCTTTCCTACTTTATACAAAATCCTACCATCCTGCAGAACATATGGAATAAGCCACAAGAACTGAATTTAGTTAGTAGTAGTCTTGGCTTCATTTTATTGCTTCTATGGTTACATCAGTGCAACACACACTTGAGTTTTCTGTAGCAGCATCTTACAATGCACAGCCATTGAGTGCCTCCCAACTCAACATCACTCTTTAGGACAGTGTAGACCTGCTTCTTGAGTTTCTGAAACTAATTCTTTTTATTTTTAATTATTTTATTGGTGGTTCATACAGCTCTTATCACAATGCATCCATTGTGTCAAGCATATTTATACATATATTGCCATCATCATTTTCAAAACATTTTTCTACTTGAACCCTTGTTATCACCTCATCCCTGCCCCTCCCCCACGCTCTCTCCCACATGAACCCTTTATAATTTATCATTTTTTCCCCATACCTTACACTAACCAATGTCTCCCTCCACTCTTGTTTTCCTCCCCACTGGGAGGGGGTTATATGTAGATCATTTTTATTGGTTTCCCCTTTCTCTCCCCACCATCCCCTCCCCCTGCTGGTATCACTACTCTCATTATTGGTCCTGAATTCTGAATTCCTGTGTTTCCAGCTTTTATGTGTACCAGTGTACTTGCTCTGGTCTAGCCAGATTTGTAAGGTAGAATTGGGTAATCATGATATGTAGGTGGGGTGAGGGGAACAAGGGGAAGGTTGTATGCTTCACTAGTGCTCTCTTCCATATGACCCTTTTGTAAGGGGATGTCCAGTTGTCTACAGATGGGCTTTTTGGGTTTCCACTCTGAACTACCCCTCATTCACATTAATATGTGTTTTTGTTCTGTGTCTCTGATGCCTAATACCTAATCCCTTCAACACCTCATGGTCATACAGGCTTGTGTGCTTCTTCCATGTGAGCTTTGTTGCTTCTCATCTAGATGGTCACTTGTTTATCTTCAGGCTTTTAAGATCCCAGATGTTATATCTTTTGATAGCTAGGCGCCATCTGCTTTCTTCACCACATTTGCTTATGCACCCATTTTGCCTTCAGTGATCATGTCGGGAAGGTGAGCATCACAGAATACTTGGTTATTAGAATAAAGTGTTCCTGCATTGAGGGAGGACTTGGGTAGAGCCTCAATGTCTGCCTGCCTCCTTGATATTCAATATATAAATATATCTGTATAGATCTATTTCCCTATTGTTATATATAAATATATTTACATATGGACATACCTGTATTTAGAGTTCTATGAGAGTCCTTTGCCTCCTAATTCTTTCCTCTATTTTTTTTTGCTTTCCTCTTGTCCCAGTATCATGTTCAGCCTTCATCCAGGTTTCAATAATTCCTCTCGCCTACATTTCCCTTGACCAAGCCCCAGCAAGGATCCAATACCCTCCATTCCATTGATTTTAGATCACTTGTTGTTCCCTTGTCCCTGGGTTGGTTGTCACCGTTCTTCCTTCCCCTTGCCTCCCCTTCTATCTTGTCCACCAGAAACCATTGATCCTGCTGTTTTTTCCTCTGGATTGTTTATTCCACCTATTTTATCTGGATAGACATGCTGAGACAATAATTAGCACTAAAACAAGACAGAGCAAAGAACCAAACAAACAACAGCTACAAAAACCAATGACAAAAAAAGAAAACCCTATAAATAATTCCAGGTCTGTTTTTTGACCTTCAGAAGTATTTTCCGGATGCATCTGATGGGTCCCATGTTCTGGTCCCAAATTCTATTTTTGGTATTTTCTGGGGTCTTCATTGCTTTGCTTCCTCTGCTGCTCTGTTGCACATCCTTAGTGTTTCAACCCAGTGTGGTGGGGCCAGATCTAGCACAATTCATGCACTGTGTCACCAGTGTTGTCCCGCGTAGCACTGTGGATCAGTGAGGGATGTTGTGTCTGGTGGTGGGGCCAGCCCTATGGCCCTATCTGTGCATTGGCTGCTCTGAGCAGGAATGTCATCCTCAGGGCTTGGTGGTCCAGAATGTTCCAATCTCTCTCCTTCCTGCTTTGCTGAAACTTTTATGAGAGCGCAAATCCTTATCTTTATGCTGAGTAGTGGTAGTACATTTGAACTTCTAGCCTTGTGGTTAGCAGCACAATGGTAAACTAAAGCTTTTTAAAGTGTTAAAGAGCAAAACTGTCACATCGAGGAGTCAGGAGGACTTTCTTTACATGTGAAATCTG